TTACTTTGATGATTCTGGGGGTTTCGTACATCATTCAGGATTTGGTAAGTTGTTTATGTTCATGTAATAAACATAGAAATAAGTAATCCCATCAACGTCTATAGAAAATGCATTCTCCTGAAAACCAGTTCTTTCACTGTATCCACGTTCGCTTAGAACTAAGATATACGCCCACAATAATGTCTTAGTTTTACATAAACATACTAATATATATTGCAATTTTGACCTGGGTGCAACTAATGTCCCAGATGGTAACATATTGCACATAGATCTTTGCTTTTTGTTAAACTTTATGTGATACTGATGTGGAAATGGTAATTGACCACCTATAATACTTTTATTTTTACTTTATAAACATATAATTTCATGATGAATAATTTATGTATAGATGTTAATTCATATGTAAAACAATTGCCTAACAAAAAATGTTTTTTTCAATATTACCATTAATTATGCTCAGTAGCAATCCAATTATAATACCCTTAATCTGTTATGTTGGACAATGTTATAATGCATTTACATAAAAGGCTTCTGAAAAGAGAACACACTTCATTTCTTTTTTCATCATAATGAGGAAATAATACATATGGTAGACTAACAGATTTGACAAAATTTTATAAAATTAGGTGTCATTCAAGTCCTCTTCCAGAATATAATCAGTACAATCTGTTTCTTTAATTGGTCCCTTAAATAAACTGATGTCTGGTAATTTTGTTTTTGTTTGTTATAGATTTATTATACCCTGTCAAAATGCTGCGCTTCCTCAGCCGAAGAGGGCGCTCATCCAGCCAGAATCGAAACAAACAGGCCCAGAAAAATTCGAGCAACAAAAACTTGATACAATGCAAGGTAATGTTACTTGATGAAACTGATTTATCCATCAATCTATCAAAGAAAGCTAGTGCTGCAGATCTCTATGAACAAGTATTTTATTCTTTAGATTTAATTGAAAAAGATTATTTTGGACTGCAATTTACTGACACAAATAATGTTAAACACTGGTTGGATCCAACTAAAACAATAAAGAAACAAGTTAAAATAGGGCCCCCATATACTTTGCGTTTAAAAGTTAAATTTTACTCATCTGAACCCAATAATTTAAGAGAAGAATTGACTAGATATCAATTTTTCCTACAACTGAAAAAAGATATTTTGGAGAGTAAATTAGAATGTCCTCATTCCACTGCAGTGGAGCTGGCTGCCTTGGCCCTTCAGTCAGAATTAGGAGATTTTGATGAGTCGATGCACACACCTGCTACAGTTTCAGAGTTTAGATTTGTGCCAAATCAAACAGAGGAGATGGAAATAGAAATATTAGAAGAGTATAAAAAATACAAGGGTCTGACTCCGGCACAAGCTGAAGTAAATTACTTAAATAAGGCAAAGTGGCTTGAAATGTATGGTGTTGATATGCACATTGTTTTGGGGAAAGATGGATGTGAGTACCATTTGGGTTTGACACCTACCGGTATACTCGTATTTGAAGGACCTCAAAAAATTGGGTTATTCTTTTGGCCCAAGATAAGCAAATTAGATTTCAAGAAAAAGAAATTGACGCTGGTAGTCGTTGAAGATGATGATCAAGGTCGTGAACAGGAGCATACATTTGTTTTCCGCCTGCACAATGAAAAAGCATGTAAACATCTCTGGAAATGTGCTGTAGAACACCACACTTTCTTCCGCTTACGAGCCCCAGTTAAAGGACCTTCTGCCAGGCAAAACTTCTTCAGGATGGGATCGAGATTCCAATACTCGGGCAAAACAGAATATCAAACCACACAACAGAATCGAGCGCGTCGCACCGTTCAATTCGAGAGACGCCCCAGCCAGAGGTTCGCTCGACGTCAGAGTCATGTTTTAAGGGAACGCGAAAAACAGAACGTAACAGCAAAACCTGAAACTCCATCCCAGTCTGAAGTCAACAACGAGATGCCGAGTACTTCTACAGATACTACGCCGCTTGTTCCGGACTCGACACTCGATACTCTGTCGAGAAAGAGTAGCGCGAAATCACAAAAATCTTCGCTTATTGAGATAGATTCGAAGCTAACTGAGGTAGGAGAGCCTTCAACAAAGAATCTTATGAATGACGAACCAGTGGAAGAGGTGAAGATATCAAAAGAGGATGCTATCAGCAATAAAGTATTATTCAAAATAGATAAAGGTAATGCAGACGAGAAGAAAAATAACCTTACGCAGCTGGTTATAAACAAACCGCCTTGTAATTGTTCCCCCGCAGCTGAATTTAATCCACTTAACGATCTTCTTATGAGCCTGGTGAAAGAGAAATTGAATAACGATGACTCCAAAAACGAAGCTAAGAAAGATCAGTTGGATTCATTGTCGGACAAAGAAATACCGAACAATCAAGCAAAATGTTATTTATCGTCAACTAAGAATCTGCCTCCGGGTCAGTTGAAGTGTAATAACATTCTTAAAGCGAGAGAGAATGAAATTAAAATAATTAATGAGTCACCGAACATAAATCTGTCTATTCCGTCTACACCTTCACCGAAAATTCTGAACGAGCCAAGTTCTCCGCTAGCTAATAATTCGCAATATGTCTCTATTGTGGTGGTCGAACCTCCGCGTGCCCAAACCAAGATAGCTTCGCCAAAACCAGTGGAAAGAAAAGATGTTGTGCCCAAACCCCAACCGATATCGTCATTATCTCCTTGGCTTGTGACTTCCGAGCCCAGTTCCCCATCGGGTATCGGAGAGAAGGAAATAACAATAATTCATCGTAAGTCGGTCATTACTACACAGTTGTAGGAAAGATACGTTCAAGTACTTTTAATACATATTTTGTACTTAAGGGTGTAGGTTAAAATAAGTATTAATACATATTATGAAACAGTCTGGTGCTGTCAAATTAATCGAGTTCTCAACTACAAAGGTGCCCTGGAATTATTGAGTAATTTCAGTTGTCAGTGATATACACAAAGCAACTAAGTGCCTTTTACATAAACTAAATGTTATTTCGCTTTTGAAGTTTCGAAGGAAACCTAAAGCGAGATGATACCTTATTTTCGCCTTTATATCTGTCGAACTTTTTACACTTTTAGGTTAAGAATTATATTTCCAGTAAGTTTAGTTTTACGTACGGATTGGTATTGGAATATTGAATTACTAACATTATTGGCCATAAAAAAACATTGGTAATTTAGTATTGCGTGAAGTAACACTTCTTGGCCGCGGAATGAAGCTACAATTGCAAATGTATCTACATACAAATCGGTATCTCTTAAATTTTTACAAGAACGTTTTCAAATTAGCCTTCAAGGCTATTATAGTCCACCTGGTTATTTTTATAATAATTTTATTTATTGGCTGAATCAAGTATTTGAATTTTATCTATTTTGATTTTATTTTTTAATTACAAAAATACAAATTACAATTATGAAAATAATGTTTCGTATAATGTATATCGTATATACCATATATTTATACAATGATTTTAGTTTTTTTATCTTTTTTAACATACTTTTATAACATATTTTACATGTTTCACTTAAATGTACTTAATTTTAACATTCAAGTATTATAGAAGAAAAGATACTCATTGCATTACTTAATTTTACAATGTGACGACATTTTACTTAAAATAAAGGTAACTTAAACATTCCAAGTATTATAACTATGTACTTAAATATGTCAACATGCTACTACTACTCTAAATTAATGTTAAGAATGAAATATTGAAATTAAATTTACATTAGTTAAGCCGTCCTCTTACCACATCGAATAATACTTTTAACATGACATTATCTAGAGTATAGTACAAGAAATGAACAGTATTACATCAAACGATTTGTTCGTGCCATAACTGCACTTTTGAATGATTGAATTTTTGGAATTGAATTTTAAATGGATTATTATATTTTTAAATGAGACTGAATAATTTGGATTTATAAACGTGTTTGATTTTGTTTTGTAATTCATCTAAAGATAGATTTCAGTTACAGTCGTGCACGGTACTACGCGTGTAAAATAACGTGAGACTCTTTCACTCGGCCTTTACTAGTTGCACTATGCACTCGAACACCATGACGTCATTTACACAGTCTCATGTTATTGCACAACTAGAACATGTAATTTATATCTCCATATTTGCATTGTATAATTATTTGTGTTGTTTATATGTAAAAAAATATTGACGGAAGTGAAAGAAGTACGAAAGTTATAAAAAATGATTCCACTAGTTTTAATTAAATTAGACTTATATAACGGTGCTTGGGAACAATCAATTTTATATATTTACTAAGTATTATATACAGAAAAATGTACTTCAAAGACGCTCCGCTTAAAGTCGTGGAGAAGATTGGTTCTTGATATCCCTCGAGATCTTTTCCTGCATGTGGTTCTGTGGTCTTTACACAGAAGAAGCATATACCTTTGTGGTCTTATTTTATACAATAGCAAAGGAATAGAGGGTAAAGCCACTGGTGTCCCGGAATTTACAAAGGCGTGTATACTTAACATTTACTGTAAGCGTTTTTGTTTGGCTACTAAATACTTAATATAGGTTTATAATAGACCTAGACAATAAGTTGAAGCCTGTTTAATTGTTACATAATACCGTCCAGTTGACATCTTTGTCGTTTAAGTATTTGGGTTTATGTACTTTGGATTATTCTTTAGTTGTGTCTACACACTAGTGCTCGTTAGTCTCAAATAAGCAAGTACATAAAACATATATTTTTAATGTGTGGATACAACTAATGTTTTGTAGGTACCTTTACTTGTGTATTGGTACGATAATGCATTGATGTTTTATCTTTATTATATTTTATTCAAATGCCTTTTATTGAATGTAATCAGGACAATTATTATAATTAAAATGTTTTATTCTATTCATGTATTTTATTAAATCGCTAACAATAATCCGAGTTCTCCAGGTTTTTATATAAAATTAAAAACCTTTTCTGCCTTTGCTGAACTTTTTAATGAAACGTCAATAATGTTTTGACACATTTTGTCATAATCTATACAATATTTGTTTGCCCTTTCGATAGAAAGTTAAAAAACTCCAAACAGTGGTAAAGTTATTTTGCTTTAATTTACTAACAATGTCGAATATTAGAAATGTATCAACAACTTTTGAAAACACTTTCTCCAACAAAAGATATTTTATAAATAGTTTAGACTCGTATCATGGTGAACAAATTTTGAAGAAAGTGTCGAAGATAATAGAGAAAACTGAACAGTCTACGGTCGTCTCGTCGGTGTCGGATATAGGGGAGCACTCGGAGATATTAATCTCGCCAAAGCCAGTTGTGGAACCTTATGAAATCATAGGTAATATGGAATTGCTCCGATATTCTCTGATAACTATGTTATCAGGGTCACTACCTTTTAAATCTGCTCTTATATTATGAACTCAGGTGTAGTTTGAACCTTCAGTATTTCCTTTTGTAACGTTATGGTTCTCTACGTATTTCAATGTAGAATGCAGACTATTAAAGAGCCTAAATGAAATACATTAACGTTTTAGTGATAATATTATATTTATCTTCTAGGCACTGTTATTGATCCTAAAATAGCAACCATCGACAATGTAGCAGCAATAGTACCTATCAACGAATGCTTGCCACAGATGCTCACCTGTGGGACGGTGATTTTAGATATAAGTCGTGATACTCAACAAGTCAAACTTGCTTCGGATTATCTTAAACGTAAGAAATGCCAAACATAATTTTAAATGCAACAAGTTAGAGCAAGCTATTAATTTGATCTGCGTATACTCCTATATCGATTGTATGTTATACTATTTACTTGGGAGACTACATCAATATTGTTTAACATTGTAGTTTTAAAAGACTTGCTTGAAAAGGAACTACAGGCGGAACAAGCTCAAAGCGTAGTGAACGACGCCGGCGACGTCCCGGATTCCAAGAGGCGTTATCTGATATTGTTATCCACAGTAATGACGTGGGCTCTTACGAAGCCATTGGACCCGGTAATACTAAACTACTAACAAATGATTATCTTTGGAATTGCAAAAGTAATATAAATAACAAAAACTTCTTTGTCAGTATTTAAATAGAGTACTTATGTAAAGAAAAAGATTAGGCCTAGAATTATTTCTGGTGGCTACAATTAAAATTGTTAATTTATAATTTGTGATTTCAACGTCGCGTTTTTATGCATTTAAAATCAATGAAAAATTTAAACCGAATACCCGGTTTTAACGACTTTTTAGGACGCACCAGAGATGCCTTTTGTGGAGACAGATTTTCGCAAAAGAAAAGCGCATCCAAATTACAAACAGCATTATAACGTTGAAAATGAGGTCATCGGCATTGCCAGAAAGTTCAAGTCGAAAATTGGGTGAGTTCTGTCATAGGTACTGTTAGTGAGGGTTGAAACTTTACCTCCGTGAACAGTAAAGAAAATGTTTTAAAAAATTTAAAAAAAGAGTTCATGGGTTCGCCAGTCAATGGTCTGGGCTTCTACTAATGAGGTTTTATTAGTAGTAGTTTTTGTAACTTTTTTACATTTTTGGATTCTTCTAGAGCTAGCACCTACCCTGACTCACCAACTGGCGATGCCCCTGCTATACTTTGAGATCGCTCCATAAAATGTTGTGATGAAACTGTATTTTGCATCAAAGATGTATTATACTGTATGTTGTGTTGCCTAACTTTAACGGTAACTTATAAACGTTCTAACGGGTACTATTAAGTAGTTACGTTTCGGATAATGGTTATTGTTACGTTCTTACATAAAGTTGTAAACTCCGACATGCTTGTTACCATTTCGGTTTACAGGAATCATTGAATAAATTATAAATATGCACCGAGAGTTATTCTTAATATCTGGACACTCACTTATTCTACGGAATTGTTTTAAACATTTTTTTTAAATTGTGTTTATTTCCAAGAAAAACACTTTTTCAGTGCTTTGGTGGTAGCTTCCGGGATGACATACGGTGGACGCGAAGATGCTCTTTATTATTGGTTTCAAAAGGCTTGGGAATGCGAACCCTTTTTACCTATACTAGGCCGCGGTGCAAATGTTATTCCTATTATTAATGTATTGGACTTAGCAGAGTAAGTAGAAATAAATGTATGTTATTGTTTGTGGTCAGTAAAAGAAATAATGTTTTGTACACTTCAGGATTGTTTATAATCTTGTAACGAATTTCCCAAAAAAGCTATATATTTTGGCGGTCGAACAAAATGTAACGAAACAGAGACAAGTAAGGATATTACATTTTTATTGTTTAGTATCTATAGCTAGTAATTGTTTTTATTTTATTAAATTTAAAATGTTTACAGATTATTAAACCATTAGGACGAATAGTCGGTTCTGGAATGTTCAAATGCATACCGCCTGAAGAAGCCTTCTTGATTCCTGAAATAGATGTAAAAATGACCTTCCTACTATATTACAATTTTGTTATATTATTATGTATTTCTATATTGGAAGCATTACATAAGTCTTACGTCCAACATTTTAAGATTCCAAATAATATTTTATAGCAAAGAATGTACGATCTGATGAATCTGAATTTGAATATGGAACCGACTTTTATCGTGGAGACTATGGGCTTACAATGGGTTTCAGAGTTGACCTTCTCTGAGAATGTTCCCGCTCTTATAAAGCAATTTAAAAAGGAACGAGAATTAAAATCTTTCAAGGTAAAACACATCAAAATAACATCCGAAGAAAAACTGTTGATGCTGGGTTTCTGAAGTTTCCATTTATTTAAGGAAGTAGCGTATGTGTTCTTCCAGGCTATCCTCTACATCTATACGAAATTTCATCAGACCCGTTTAGCCGTTTAAGCTACAAACTCTTATCAAACATCCATCCATCTAAACTTTCGTATTTATAATATTAGTAAGATTTCCTATTGATTCACTAGTATTAGGTTGACCTATGTTTCAACAGACTAAAAATCAAATTACTCGTACGTAGTTCGGAAACGCATTTCATGAAATTATCGAACCAAACATACTAATGAAAGATTAAACTTAGCTAGAACACCGACCATAAGAGATCTAATGAGAAATCTAATTTGTAGCTGAATTTGAACATAGACATAATGAAAATCTATATTTTTTGTTTTCATATTTCACACAGATTGTTATATACGGCCCTATAATGATTGGTAAGAGTACATTATCGAGATTAATTTGCGAGAATTACGGATTGGTGTATGTTTCTCCCGACACTATTGTTAATGACATGATGAATGATTTGGTATGTAATTTTAATTATTGCAGTAAACTAATAATATAGGATATATGTAATTCTTATCGGTATGTTACGTCTTAATTAACTTTAAGGAATTACGAATAGAACATTGGAAAGAAGGTGAAGCGTTCAAGTTGCCAGGATTAGAAGAGGGCGACAACACAATGGATGAAGACGAAGAAGTAGAGGATGATGAGAACGAACGGGAAGCGGCGAGAGTAACACTCGGCCTCTTGCGCTCCGGTCGCACTCCGACTGATGATGAAATCATTGGGTTCGATTAATTATTGTTTTAACTCAAAATTATAAAATATCACGTACAGCTTGGGAAACTGGCGGTGGTCCTCGAAAGCTGCAATCGTTTGAACATTTTGAAACGAGACGCGGAACAATAATCAAATGCAACGCAGCTTGTAATGCGTCTGTACGAAAAAAAGTCGGTTTATTATCCCTTCGTTTGCACTCATTGATATCTGATTAGTTATTTGTAAGAAGAGGCGGAGTTTGTCTTTTTACAAATTGTCCTAAAGTGAAACACCGCGGGTTTCCGCGACTTTGCAGTCTATATTTTACGGAAGAAAATCGTCAAGTTTTATCTTTTATTTCATAGATACTTGAGACAAAAATTATTAAGTCACGAAGCACAAAACAAAGGATGGGTGTTAGATGGATTTCCTTTAGCACAAAGCGCTACTCGTAAGTTTATTAATGATCTACTAAAGTACATAAATCGGCCTATATTATAAATATTATGTAATTTTATTACTTGTGATAATTCCTCTTAGTTTTTGGGAGAGGCGAGGAACAGGACGAAGTACAAAGTGAAGATGAAGATCGAGATATGTTTGAGGAAGATGTGGATTTATACGCAAATGTTCTCAAGAAGTTATTACCTGGTGAGAATCATAGATAAGCTATAAGCTTTGCTTTGGTGTTAGACCATTTTTAACAAATAAATAATGAAATTTTATCGTTTTAGACATAGTGGTGTCTTTAGAAGCGACGGATGAATTCGTCTGTGAGAAGGCAATGCGCCAGCCTGAAGATGAGTCTCGTGTGAACGAGGACACAGTACTGAAGCTACTCAGTGAGTTCAGGACGGCTGAGACCCCGGAAATGTCTCCTCTTAACTTCTTCGACGAGTTGGATATACATCCTCTAGTGGTTCCTGTGAACAATCACAATGACTACGCTATGGAGGGCCCGTATGCCGAGGTGTCGCTGCGATTAGGACGACCGTGCCGTTATGCAAAGTTAATGGGTAAGTAGCATACTATGAATTAATTAAGTGAATCATTTAAATAGTATTTGTATCCTACAATAAATGTTTACTGTTATATTAAAATATAAGCGAAAAAGTACAATGAAACTTTGTCTATGTTGATAATATAATTATACCTTTATCTCTCTAAAGAGGTTATCGAGAGAGCAGAAAAGAAAGAAAAAGCGGTAAAAGAATTGATGGAAGCCAAACAACGTAAAGCTTTGCAGGAACTGGAAAAGAAAATTAAAGAAGAAAAAGAAGAGAAAATGGAATATTGGGTATATTATCTAAAAAGTTAATAATGAATTATGTGGAGTTAAACATTTGATTTAAATTATCGATAAATCTTACAGTCGGAGTTATACGGCTTGATGCGTGAGGAGGAAGAAATGGCGCTGGCGGCCGCGGGCGAGCCGATGCGGAACTATCTGGTGCAGTACATCTTCCCCACACTGACTGCGGGACTTCTAGAAGTCGCCAAATTACGACCCAAAGACCCCATTGATTTCCTTGTAAGTTGATAAATCTCAATGGATGACGGATTTTTCAAGCTCAATGTTTTTTAGATGTTCTTCATGTTAAAGAAACTACGATTTTAAATTATTTCTTCTAGGCTGAATATTTGTTCAAACTTAACCCAACCGGGAAGATGTTGGAGCCAGGATATAATCTACAGGCAGAGAAAATATTAGGCAAAGTGAAAATGCTAGACGAAGCTCTCAAAGACCTGGATATAGACATAGAGGCTCTAATACCACAAGAAGCGGAAGTCCCGGGCGAAGAAGTCGCTGCATCGAAAAAGAAAATAGAAGAAATGAACGCGTTGTAGATTTATTATTTGAATGTAAGATTTTTTTAGATTAACATTAGTTTATTTTACATTTGTACCTTGATTATTGTTTATGGTAGAAAAAAATAAAGCCGTTGATGTGATTAAACTTTATTTTTATTACAAAAAGTATCTGTCGGACAAAAAAGTGAGAAATTCTTGGAAGAAATACATAAAAACATGTGATTGTTGAGTGGCATGCATATATTTCCCGCTATCGTGGATTGTAGCGACCTACATTTATAGTATAACACAATGAAGGTATAACCTAAAATAATGGGCTATCGGTTGCTGAATAATTATATTTGATTTCAATGGTTGTCATAATATAATTAGAGCGCAACACGCAACAACTGGTCGATAAATCTGATTGTATCTTACATCGCGTGGGTAATACAATTACAAGTATATTCCATAGTTTAGTATAGAGCATGCAGAACGATGACGAAGGTCTATCCTCAATATCCACCGCGCTATCTAAAGGGAACAAAGAAAAAGAAGCGTCAGAATAAAAAACAAGATGATATTGGAGTATTATCATTGCTGGCGGCAAGCTTACGTCATCAGACCACTGAATTCTTTAACAACTCTACATTACATGGCGTGCGATACATCGCGGAGAAAGAACGACCCTTTTGTGAAAAGTGAGTGTGTAATGAAAAGAAAATTCTTATAATTACTTTAATATCAACTAAAGTGTCGATCTAGTACATTTAGAAAATACAGCTTTACGACTATCGTAAGAGTAATATACATTTTAATTTTGTTAGGTTGTAATCTTTAGTTCCTGAGCATTCTTACATTACAATGGTTTCTTTTAGATTTATGTGGTTCAGCTTCACGGCAATAGGCGCCGTGGCCACGTGCATAATAATCGTAAGTCTGTGGGAAAAGTTTCAAACAAATCCAACAATTACAGGCGAGTTAAAAACAATAATAATATGACATAATTTTAAAAGAAACAAATGATTTTATTTTAATCTGATGATGCAGGTTTGGACACGGATTTCCATAATTGGGATGTACCATTTCCCGCAGTTACAATATGTGACAAGAATCCACTTGATGAAGAATTATTACAAGCATACATTGAAAAGTACGTATCATAATTGTTTGTATCATGTACTATCATGAGCTTTCAGTATTATGGTTTTAACGTAATTATAAAAACAACATACAGACTAGCGAATTTTTGAATCATCCCCTAAAAACCGAACTCAACTCAATACACAAGTCAAATACTCATCGCCATTTTTCTGTACTAAGTAAATTTTGTTGCCCAGAGTGTGGCCGGCTGGGGCGCCTGCCAACGCCACTGAGATGCTGCAATGGCTGGCGACTTTGAGCTACCGTTCTATAGCAGAGAGTGCGTCGTTGTTTGTGACACAGCCTGACCTGGTCGGACACACCGTGGAAGACGCCCTGGCACCTGCATTGGATCCCAAGGACGCTGTATTTAGTGTCAGTTTTACTGAAATACGATAGCGACAAGAAAAGACATTCTACGTTTAAAACTTGTTTTTAAATAACTGGTATTCTATTGTATTTCACGTATTTCTAATAACACAAAAATACTTACAGATTGTTCAACGTTGCGAGGCTGCATTTTACGATTGCGAATGGAAAGGAGACTCGGAGGAATGCTGTGATTTTCTCGTGCCAGTCTTCACAGAAATGGGGTTTTGTTACGCTTACAATTCAAGACACGCGGAGAAATCTTGGCCTTGGTAATGTATAGAATCCTGTATGAATCTAACAAACTTTCATTACTATGTGATTAAATAAATAAATGACCAGCCCTATATATGTAACATAGACTATTTCTTTAGTCTTAATACCTTGTATCTCTACTTTCACTAGTTTTTATACATTTTAGGCAATCCCAGGCGCAAAACGAATTGTTTACCGAAGCGTATATTCACGAGACGGATTCGAAATGGTCCTTCATGTTTAATTCATTTCGCAACACATCGATAATAGACGTAAGTGTAATGCTAAAAGTTTAAGTGGGACTTAGGCAGCCTTGTTATACTTAGTGGTATACTTACGTTACTACGATTAGCTGTGGATATAATTGAATTTCTTTTTTAATAATTTTAACCGACTCGAAGGACCAATTTATCAAAATTACTATCATTTTGATTGAACGGTTCCAGATCTACATTCATTCAACCGAGGAAATGGCGGGATTGGAACAAAGCGCACAACTCTCGTGGGATCATAGAGTAGAGAAAGTGTCGTTCTCAGTCAAACACACGTACACTACGGAGGACGCGCGGCAGCTCTCCATTCGACAGAGACGTTGTATCTTCGCGGACGAAGTCAAATTAGAAACGTCATCTATATACACGTACTCGGCCTGTATGCGACAGTGTCGGATGCAAAGAAGTCGTTCGTACTGTAAATGTGTGCCGCATTTTTATCCGAAAACAAGTACGAATTTATTCTTTATCAGCTATCCTACACTTATGATTTACGACAGTTACAAATACATAATAACTATTTGCACACAGAGGGGTACCGGCAATGTTCAGTGCGGGAACTGGAGTGCATAGCTCGACACGCGGCCGCCATCACCGACGTGAGCCGCTGCGCCTGCGAGCTTGGTTGCTCACACACAGTCTACGAGGTCGAAAAGCTCACCGAAATTGAGTCAGTACATTTTTAAACTAACTAGTTGTTGGTCGTGACTTCGCCCTTACTCACTGATAACATACCGTTCTAATGGTGAAAAATTTTTTAAAATCGTGCCAGTAGTTTTTGAGTTATTTCAATCACAAAAATATAAATATTTTCTTTGTATAATATTAGTATATACTAGTCTACTTAAACATTTGTCATATAATTATCGTGTTTAATTAAAGCTCAAGTAAAGGTCCAGTGGCGTCCAACGCTCTGGAGGCAGAGTTTGTTTCGTGGCCAATGGTGCGATACAAACGCGAGGTGCTCTTCGGATGGGTTGACTTGTTGGGTAAGATTATTTATGCATTTAGGTTCGCAATTAAAAACGTACACCTGCCGTTTGTATGTTCTTCAGCTTCTACTCTTGTTTATTAAACATGGAATTTATGTTACTTTTCAATCTTACTAATAACTTAAATTGTAGCCTAAACTGCTGAACGGATCTTCATGAAATTTGGCATAGACGTAGAGGATAGCCTAGAACTACTTACTTTCGTGTTTTAATACCCCGCGGACGTAGTGTCAGGCGAAAGCTAGTAAATAAATATATATCTAAATATATTCCCTCTACGATCTTTGGGAGTTGTAAGTGTATATGCGTGTAAATTAGCGTGTGGTGTGTCAGTGTCATTCGGTGGCATAGCCGGTCTGTTCCTGGGGTTCTCGCTGCTGTCTGGTGTGGAGTTGGTGTACTACTTCACACTGCGCGCCTGCTGCGCCGCCTGGCGGGACGGGCCCGCACTGCGCCAGGAGCGCGCCGAGCGTCTCGCACGACCCAAGCCGCCGTACAACCTCAGCCTCGTGCCATGGTAATATTACAACAGCCCTTCTTAGACAAAGTAACATTATCGCCATCGCTGATCGAAAAGTCTAAAATGTATGAAACTGACCATAACATTTGATAAGTCACGTGCTTGTCACGTATTCATTCCTATAGGTTTTGACACATTTTGTCGATTCTACAAGCGACATCACTAATTGAGTCACTTTGTCTAGAAGGGCAGGTAATTATTAGCTATGGGAATTGATTTATAATTATTATTCCAGGTGGAAGAAACCGCCAGAGCCACAACACGCAGAGCCTCTTCAAGTGAAGGCAAAGAACGTGCAGCCGCCGCAATACTCCCCGCCTCCACTCTACACACAATACTTGCCCTGATTAACCAAATTATACTGTATACAAGGAAATCAATAAAACGAAAATACACATTTAAATAGTTAAGTTTATTAAAATTTTTGGTCACATCAATCTAAAAAAAAGTCTCTCGGAGATTTTAAACGAACTACATTAGGATGCTAAAAGATTGGACATAAAACAGTCAACAAGTTCCAAAATATTCGAGTGGTAAATACGTACAAATAACTAGGTTTCCAAAAAGCACAATAATGCAGTTCATTGGATAACATTCGAAAGAACAAGTTCTTAACACTGTAGTGTGCGCATCCTATCAATTTAAGATCAATAAAAAAATGGCCTAAAACCGAAAGCAAAAAAACCTTAGCTCTAATTAAATAGGAATGGTGCATAGCCTTTATAATACTTAACGATCTACAGGGCATTCACAATATTGCATATTACTAAAACAATAATTTACGTAAGTTGCTAAAATCCATACAAATTACATAGTTAAAGTTACATACATACTTTGCCAAAATTAGTTCAATATACCAGAATGCTGCAATTAAAAACACTACTGGTTCATAAAAAAAATCTCAACACTAGAAAATTGTAAAACTTTAGTACATTTTACTATTGAGGACGCCAGAGAAAATCTAAAGAAATGATATTAAAATGATGATACATTTTTTACCACTAACCTGTATAAATGGACAGGTTTTAAGATTTGGTTAGTATCAAGCTAACTTACTTTGTTTAAATAAGGTTGATTAGTTCAATTTAGTAGACATTTTCTATTATTACTGCTATAGAAGGTAGAAACTTGTATGTATAATTATCAAACTAATCAATAGAAAAAGTACAGCGCCCTCTTTTTATGCATATCCTATGTACATGTAGGATTTACACATTTTGTTACAGAACCAATCGATAGCAGCACGAATTTTGACTATTAAAGAAACGCAGTACGACTAGCCTATATGCAAAATATAAAATTGAGAACTAAAAGCTAAAACATTACTTTTTATTTTCAAAGCAGATAAAATAAGATTTAAAATCTTTCGACACCGACCTTTGTCATAAATATTTTACGACTTTTACTCGAAAAGACTAAAATGTTACTTATATTAACTATACTAATTAAAATAGTACTAATAAAAATTATAAGTACAATAAAATTAAATATACGTAGTGGATATTTACAAATAAATATAAGTACAATTACAGGTTACATTTAGGAAATAATTAGAGGCATATTATTGCTTAGGAATATTGAATTTTTGTCACTATAAAAAGGAAGCAATTGCCTTTTTAAAGTAAAAAATTAAGTTTTTTTGCAGTAATATTTAGCGGCGTTCCAAAATCGCAACATACGGGAATCTTATCTCTGCTTACCCTGCCAGGTTACTGTTATATATTTTCCAAATATTATTGTTAAAAATAGTTAAATTTTTAATGAAATTATTTAAAATAAACTGAAAACTTTTGTCATTTTGAACTCTATAATCGCAATATTGTTTTAATACAAGATTTGATAGTTAACACAAAATCATTTTAAAACCGTATAAAAAAAGCAGTTTAAATGATTCTTAATTTACTGAAAAAGTTTATTGAAAAACTATTTTGTCCACTTTGTCGTAACAATAACCAATAATAGATTAAAGCTTTCCTGTCCAGATAGGACAAATAAATATATAGAAATAGTTTTATTTCGGAACTGGGACTGACGTAGTTTTCATATCTTATATATTAATTTTAGCAACTTCATACACAAAATAACCTCAGGGAATAGGAACACAGTAATATTTTTTTTACTAGTTTTTGCCCATTTGTTTCCCATCTGGCACATCATCGAGATATTTTGAGATATTCTGGAGATAATAATAGTAACAAATATCAATCTAAAAAAATATTTATAGTACATTCAAATTAAGTTTCCTAAGTACAAGGATAAGTACATTGGTTGTAGAATATTTGTAAGTACACACGCGTGCCATCAAGTTTTGAAGCCTTTGAAAAAACATTACAAATATCGCCAAAACAGGTTCGGAATCATATACTTTTCTTAGGCATAGTATACAATTCCTAGTTATCACACATTTGTGGTAACATATTAGGTTCTCCAAATAGATATTATTGTTACGACAGAGTCGGATTATTAAATAAATAAAAATTAAGTAATCGTTACAACCGTGGATGTTCACTGCACCATCTCAAAATACGAGAGACAAAAAGATTGAGGATAATTATGTTTTTAATCAGTGAAAACCCACATTAAAATACATTTACTAATTATTTGTAGAATATTTGTAATATGTATACTAACATTGTAAATTCTACATTAAATCGAGTAAGTTTTATCGCCTGTGGGCTACCGTATGACTAAGTATATGTAGACACAATAAATAGAGAAAATTGAAAACATTGTCGGCTTGATACCCTACAGCCGCTAGAAATTATCCTTATGAACACTATATTCCACTGGACAGACTAAAACCCGTGCTATTTTTGAATTCGTCGCTTTTGTACTACAAGAGCTGGCGCACACCTTTGACTGAAATATCGCACAATTGTTGTCCGATAGTAGATAGTTTCGCAGCACATTCAACTGTTTAGTTGCTTATCTAAAATTGAGTAGTGTGCGAACCTCCGAAAATTCATTGGAATCAAAGTGAGACAACAGTTGTGCGATAGTTTACAGGAGGCCTCATTTTAGTCCCTATCTCATTCCTCCCTTTTCTTATAAAGAATTGGATGGGAAAATGTATTTAGCGGTAGAGGAGGCGCATAGGAAGGGGAAATAACCTCTTTGTGTGCGTCTCCTTTGTTGATTTAGGGTAGGCAACGCATCTGCAATTGCGGATGTCTATGGGCAGCGGTCGCTTCGCTATTTTTTTTCGTTGGTCACTTGCGTTTTGCCACGTTTTTGTTAAAAAAAGGTGCACGCTCTTTATGAAGTACAAGCCTGTCTAGCAGATATATGTCAGCGAAGGTAAAGTAAGGTTAAAATCATTGTTAGTGTGTCAGTTGTCAGTCAGCAGACGGGCGAGGCGGGGTCGGGCAGCCAGAGCGGGCAGGTGAGGTCGGCCGCGTCCTCCTTGTCCGCGCAGCGTCGCCGCAACGTGCGGAAGAACGCGCCCACCTTGTCCACTTCAGATAGGGTTGCCTGATAAAAAAAACATTTACAAACATCTTATTTATAACTAGCTATTCCTATGAGGCTTTATCCACATGATATTATAAAAACTATTTTTTGTTTACATTTCGTATAACTTTCAATTGACAACCCTTGAAGCCCTTTGATGTTGGCTGAGATTTCTTTGCAGCTATTGGCAGTATTGTAGTTTTTATCCCTTTCCCGCATGTTTTTTCTAATTTATTTCCCACTAAGTTTAATAGCGTGAAAATATGCCTAAAGAGGGTCGCAAGTTAATGCTTTTTATTAAAAAAACATTTATTCAAAAACATGATGTGATAGCTTCGGTGGCTCAGTGGTTTGAACACTTGACTAATATTGTAATCTACAGGTCTTGGGTTCGAATCCCGCCGTATACCAATGTGATTTTCGATTTTTCGAATTTTCATATGTCCAAATTTACCCGACGTTCTTACGGTGAAGGAAAACATCGTGATGCAACCTGCACATAATGGAGAAGAAATTCAAAGATATGTGTGAAGTCAACCAACCCGCACTGGGCCAGCGTGGTTGACTATGGCCTAGTCACCCCATATTAGGATAGGCTCCGAGCCCCTCGGTGGGGACGTATAATGAGCTGGTGATGATGACGATGATGTGATAGCTGACATCGTACATAACTAAGTAGTGTGTGTTTACGCTTTATTACATTGAGGGCCTGTTCCACCACTGGCTGATAGAGGTTCAAATATCTCAAAAATGACGTCACTGTCAGATAAGGGAACAAAAATTATATTTCCATCACATATTTTACACCTTGGATTGTCATCAGACAATTTACATGTTGGTGGGACAGGCCCCTACAATACTGTTTCTGTTTAGATTTTTAATGAAAAATAAAGTGAAATATGATAAGCGTTATGTATTAACTTAAGATGAGCACATACCTCGATGGCAATGGCCAGCACGAGATGCAGGATGGGTATGATGAGGAGGTAGATTCGGAAGTACGTCTGGTCCCTGTCGTGCAGCTCCACCGGCATGATCTCCATCAGCTCGGCCAGCCAGCCCAGCGGACACAGCAGCAGGATCAGCACGAACGCGAACTGGCTCACCAGCGTCAGCACCATGTAATCTGAACACATAATAACTAGCTTACATCGGCGAATACGTCCGTGTGTATTTTTACCTTATTACTATTATAAATGAAAAAGTTTAGATGGATGTTTGTTACAGTTTGTAGTCTAAACGGCTGAACAGATCTGGATTAAATTAGGTATAGATGAAGAACATAGTCTGGAAGAACACATAGGCTGCTTACTTTTTTTTTTTTAAACGGAAACGAACTCCGAACCGAGTCGCGGACGAAAGTTAGTGAAAATTAAAACGAAAGTAAGTAGCAGGCTACTTACTTTCGTTTTGTTGAGTGCAAAATACAACCTCTTTGGCTGACAAGCAGTATGTATACAGCCAAAGAGGTTGCATACTGGCCACCAAGGCATTTATCGTTGGTTAAAGAAAATATATAGAAAAAGAGGAATAAGAAGACAAGATGTGATCCAGATAATTTTGAGTTTTTTTGTATATATTTGTGTAAATAAGTTTTGAATAAAGATGTGTTAGTTTCATAAAAAGTGTTTTGTATTTTTGGCTGCCGCGCTGTCGGTAACAAGTTAAACAGCCTGTGTGTTTTTTCAGACTTTGCTTTACATATCTGGTATGCCAAATTTCATAGTGATCCGTTCAGCTCTTTAGGCGGCAAACTCTAACTCCATCCACCCAAGCTCTAGCATTTATAGTATTAGTAAGATCTAAGTCCCACATTTAGTTATTTAATTACTGATGTGGTGGATGAATTGTTGAACTCGGCCAAGTTTTTACTTGAATCAAATATATACAAAATTACAAATCTTTCGTTTTCATAATATTAGTATAACTGGTTGTATATGTGTTTCATGAGTATTAGAGTAAGTAAATAGTAACGTACAGTTCGAGCAGAAGGGCTCCCTGAAGGGCCAGCCCTTGGCGTAGACGCAGGCCAGCACGAGGTACTGGAAGGAGCTGACGATGAAGATGACGGTGTTCTCCCACAACAGCACCTGCTCCACTTTCCCGTCGCCTTGCACTGAATGGTACCTTAGAAATAATACTTTTTATTAGACATTTCATCGCGGAATAAAACTGTTGAAGGAAATTAAAAGTCCAATATCACGTAGAGCAGAGCAATTTTTATTTGCAATTTGTTCATTTTTGTTTTATATTTCTTTTTTATCAAGAGTAAGCGGTAAAAAGACGTAGAAATCTAAAGTAAAATTAAACGTAATACCTTGCTATTGTAGTAAAAAAAGTTTTAGTTTCTATAAATGCGAAAGTTTAGATGGATGGAGGGATGTTTGTTAGAGTTTGTAGCCTAAACTGCTGAACGGGTTTCGATGAAATTTGGTTTAGATATAGAGGATAGTTTGGAAGAACATATAGGCTACTCTCTTTTGTTTTTTTTTTTTTAATTACACGCGGAGTCGCGGGCGATCGCCAGTAAACAAATAATTAACGTTAGTTAAAAATCTTGTAAAATTAAATTTTATTATCGATAAAAATTTACTCTGCTATGTCTGAATGAATCCTAACACGTTGCTATCATCACGTACTAATATGACGTTGCAGAATAAGTTAGGCGATGTATAATGAGTGGAACTGACCAGGGCTGCGCGTGCAGCAGATAGAGCGAGGCGAGCTGCAGCAGCAGCACCAGCAGCACCTGCGCCAGCAGCGGCAGGATGCTGGCGAGCGCCACCAGCGACACGGCCGGCGTCTGCCGCGTCAGCACGGGGCCCGGCGCCGCGCGCCCCAGCGACAGCGCCAGCAGCGTCGTCAGCACCAGGTCGATGTACAGGAACTGATTGTTGCCCAGGATCGAGAAGTACTGGAATTACAACAAAAATTACTTTTATTTTCAACCGCAACTTCAAATGGTCGTTACATTGGCCCTATTTGTACGGTTTCTGGTGTACTTATGTATTTATCTATTTATTCATCTACAAGCTTTCGCCCCCGACTCCATCCGTGGTATTAAAAAAAAACCAAGTACCCTATATGTTCTTCCAGACTATCTTCTACATCTACGCCAAATTTCATTGAGATTCAGTCAACAGTTTAGGTTACAAACTCTAACAAACATCCATCCATCTAAACTTTCACATTTATAATATTAGTATCAAGTATGATTTACATAGAATACACATACAAAAATAACATATAAATATACGGACAGGCAGACATGCAGACTTCACATTTATATATAGTTGACTTCGTCCGCGTGAAATTAAAAAAGTAATAAAAAATAGCCTATATTACTCGCAAAATAACCTTTCTAACGGTGTGAGAATTTTCAAAATCGGCCCAGTAGTTTTTGAGTCAATACAATACATACAAAAAATTTCTATTTATAATATTAGTATAGATATATTAAAGCCACTTACATTGTAGAGTATGAGAATAGAGAAGAACTGTATGAGCGAGTAGAGAGCCATGTACTTGAAGATGGCGAAGGAGGTGCTGAGCGCGCAGCGGCCCTCCAGCGCCAGGTGCTTCACGCATCTTATGTTCTGCTCCTTCGACGTGAACGGCGCCGCCACTGTTATGCAATACACACATTCGTTTATTACCTTTACTGTAAAAACAACCTTTTTTTATAACATAAGATGGCAAACGAGCAAGCGGCCACCTAAATCCGCCAAAATGGCGAAGCGACCGCTTCCCATAGACATCCACAATTGCAGATGCGTTGCCTACCCTTATCCGACGGAGGAGGAGACGCACATAAAAAGGATGTTTGCCGTTCCTATGCATCTCCTCCTGCGTCAAATCCACTTCATCTTCCCATCCTCTCCTTAAAAGAAGAGAGTGATAAAGAGGAATGGATTTCAATTAGGCCTCTGGCACCACACTCATCAGACGAAACACGGAATTGCTTCCATTTCATGCCTGTCTTCTGTGTGGTCGTGGTATTACTGGGGGCGTGCCGGCCCTGCAGTGCGAAGATGTTAAAGCGGGCACTACCACTGTAAAGAACCTAATAACTCTCTCTCTAAAAATGCATACTGCTCAAACGAACAAACACTAGGTGGATAAAAATAAAAAAATTAGAGTATATAAAAATTGCGCAATGTCTAACCATTTCGTAGTAAAATAATTTCAAACGCTTTTTAATTCATACATTTTCCATATCCAATTTATCATATCCCAAATGAACCTTAACTTATTCCGGGAACAAATGTAGTTGGCAAACATCTAGTTCAGTTCAGCTTTTTAGGTCACAAAGTGTAAACTACATTCATCTAAACTTTCGCCTTTATACTATTTGTGAGTAGTAAGATGTGATAAACTGTTATTAACCCTTAAATGCATCAGTCTTTTCTTCCTTACACAGTCATCAACTTGCCCTTATCCCTTATGGAGGGTCGGCACAGTATGTGCTGCTCTTCCATACATATCTATCAGCCGTCACATCTGAATCCACTCCTTTCTTAAGCATATCCTCTTTCACACAATCCATCCATACTTTCTTCGGTCTTCCTCTACCTTTGTAGCCATCCACATTCATTCTTAACACTTTTCTTCCTTACACAGTAAACTATTTTAAAAAATCACATTTTTTTCTTTATTTTTCCCTTAATCTATATTTAATGTACGACTTGTTTTAATTTTGTGGTAATGTAAAAATCATGTATTTAAAGGTTAAGGATTAAATGCTATTTGTTTAGGCAGCGTGTTACCTGAGGCGTCGGCCTCCGAGAGCGAGATGCCGACGTGCGCGGCCTTGAGCGCGCCGCAGTCGTTGGCGCCGTCGCCGCACATGCCCACCACCAGCCCCGCCTGCTGCAGCGCCGCCACCAGCTGCGTCTTCTGGTCGGGCCCGAACCGCCCGAACACCATGCCTGACACACAAACACACTATATACAAAACCATTTTACACATATTTTTTAAAGTGGGGCAAAAACTCCTGCGCCTTTTAGAGTAAGAAAAAAACCCCCACCCTCTTTCGAATCTTGAAAACAATTCTTTCTAATATTAAATGAAGAAAAGGAAGTCATTGGCTTCTTTAATACAGGGAAACATACCTAGTAAAGAAGCCAATGATAAATAAACAATTGATGTTTTGTAAAATTATATGTGTTTTTGTAATATTGTGTTTACGTACAAATAAAAAAACTACACCTATGCTAATTTTCTTCGAAATATAATTTATAAAGATGTCGACATTCAGCCGTGCAGGTGCCGCTCTCACATTCGTCATGTAACCCTTTACAGATAACTTTGTTAGTTCACAACTGGGTACGGAATTTAATTCTTTGATTATTACAAATACGTGTAAAAATTAATAATTGAACGACTTGGCGGAATTTACCATGTACCTTTAATTACATACAAAAATAAACATATTAATTTGTCTAATGATTTGTTTAAAAGTACCTTTCTTGATGACTGTCGTCATCATTTCAGGATAGTGAGCGCGGATGACGGCCCACGTCTTGCCCTCCAGCGCTATCACGTATGACTCCATTGACAGCAATGCCGGGCTGTTCTCACCGACCACCTGCAAATCAATTTAAACAATATTCAATCGTAAATCATCTTATTCATAAATACAAAAAAAAACTATTATTATAAACTGATCTGTGAAAAGTTTAAATAATTTAAAACCTTTATTTTACAGTCGTATCAAAATATACTAACTTTGGCCAGTTTCTTTACAATTTAACCATTTGTTAGTTATGTTTCGAGAACATCGTGAAATGCGTTTCCGAACAACGTAACTAGAGTTTTACTCTGTTAAGACTTATGTCAACCTAATACAAACAGCCTTACAAATAAACACGGTATAAATTTAAACTAAGGAATAAGCTGAGTATAAGAAAACATTAGTAAAAAGTTTGCTTATACTCAGTTTATTCCCAAGTTTAACTTTATACCGCGTTTATTTGTAAGGCTGTAATATACTTACGTATATTATAAAGAGGAAAGATTGGTATTTTTGTATTAAAACTCAAAAATTACTTTGCCGATTTAAAAGTTACGTTAGCAGTGAGTAGCATAGGCTATATTTTTTATTATTTTTTTAATTCCACGAGAGCGTAGATACGAGCAACAGTTAGCAGTAAACGTAAACAGTATACATTAGTGAAAATATATAATTTCGTTAAGTTTTCCAACTTACTTCCATATGCAGCGGCGGGCGCGAGTCGTCGGCGTAGTGCGTGCCCACGGTGATGAGCACCAGCTTCTGGTGCGGCTGCACCATGTTGCAGCCGCGGGCCACAGACATCGCCGTCATTATGTTATCACCTGTAACACCTTGATTTGTATAGCTTTCCCCCGCGAATCCGTCCGCGTGGAATTAAAAAAGTGAGTAGCCTTTGTCTTCCGGACTATCCTCTATGTCTATCCCAAATTTTATAGAAATCCATTCACTACTTTAGATTACAAAGTCTAACAAACTTCGTATAACACAAATAACAACTAAGTGTTTATAATTACTTCACTAGACTTAGTCATTTGTTATTATGGTACCCTTAGTGTTGATTTCTCATACTCAGAGTCTAGTGTTTAATATATTAGTAACGCCAATACATTAATGGTTATCAATAAATATATCGAAAAATGGTTGGACAATTGCACCAGTCAGACATATTATATAAACTTACTGACGCCTGTTACCTTACCTGTGACCATAATCTGTCTGATTTGCGCATCATGTAGCTCCCTGATAACTTCGGTGGTCTCCTTCTTGAGGCTGTTCTGCATGACGAGGAAGCCGAGGAAGGCCATGTCGCACTCGAGGGCTTCGCGGCGCACGCGCTGCGCGTCCACCCACTTCATCTTGCGGTCCAGCATCTTGTGAGCGAGCCCGATCACACGGTACCCGTTAGACGTGTACTCGTGCAAGATCGAGCTGAAATTCTCCGGCAGCGATTTAGGATCGCACATACCGGCTACCTGCAAGAAAACAATACTTCTACATTTTACATTTTTTTTGGAGAAGGCGGCAAAAAGCTACGGGAACACGGAGATATTGCTCGTCGCCCATGAACATCCGCAATACCAGAGGAATTGCAGATTCGTTACCGGCTTTTGAGGTGATATGCACGTTCCTTAAGACGTAGCGGTTTGGAAATACCGCCGAGGACAGACCACTTCACAACGCGGCTGTTTTACATACTTTTAACAAGAAATCGGTACAACACTACATTATTGGTATACGCATCCCTTCCCTATGACACCTGTCAATGTCAATGAGGTTTCGGAATAAGCGCGCTATTCTGGCGGGAAAGTTATGTTGTTATAACTACATTATTTGTCTAAAAACATATAATTACGATTGTTTGCTAAAACCTGCATGAAAACACTATTATTTTACAGTGAAAATTTTAAAGTTCTCTTGTTAAAATATATAATTTACCTTTTCTGGCGCGCCTTTAACGAAATACACCATTTGCGGTTGTCCAAGCACTCGCGCAATTACACCCATTGATTGCTGAGAGGATGAAAAATGAAATCGTCGCAACAAACCAATCTGAAAACAAGCAAAATTGGACCAGATTATTTTTAAAAAAAAAAACACGGATGTACAAATTAAATGAAAATCGGATTTGCGGTCAAAACTAATATTATAAATGTGAAAGTTTAGATGGATGGATGTTTGTTTGAGAGATTTGATGTTTGTTTTGAGAGTTTGTAGCCTTAATGACTGAACGGATCTCGATTTTTGGCATAGACGTAGAGGATAGTCTGGAAGAACACATGGGCTACTCACTTTTTTTTATTCCACGCGGACGTTGTTGCGGACGAAAGCAAGTACATCATACTTATTTTATAAATGGATGTTTGATAAAATTTAGTATAGATATAGAGAATAGCCTAGAAGAAGACATAGGGCACTCAATTTTAAACTAGATTACCTCATAAGGCATATCCATGAGTGTATCATAGCTGTCCAAATCTTGCGAGTTTCCATTGATGGTGGACGGCGGCTTCACCACGGCGGGGATCAGGTTATCATAGCGGTTGTTCTCCGGCCCGGGCTCCTCCAGCACCTAAAATGTTTTCACTCCATACACATATGTATTTGAATGGACCTGTATGAATTTAAAAATCTAACTCATAATTTATTTCAGAGAGAAATATAACCTAAAAGTGAAATTGTGAAACAAAAAATTAAACATGGCAGACAGCTTCCTTGCACATTTTGTGGTACAGACTTGCTTTAAAAATTCATTTTAATACAGAAAAATGGAACATATGTAAAATACTAGCATTTTTTTAATAACCTACGATTTCTACTACTTAAAAAATTTAAAGTATATTTGCTTTACGCCTAATATAAGAAAACTCACCCATTGAGTGAAATCAAACATTTTCAAGTCCAAAGGATCTCCTTTCAATTCCCCTTGTATGCTGGTGAGGGAGTGACAGGAAGCCAGCGCCTGCACCAGCGGGCTGGAGGTGGACAGGTTGTTTATATCCACCACGCAGCGACCGAACTTGTCGTCGTTTGACGCCGGGATCACCGCGTACAGATCCAGACCGTCCTCCGTCAAGGTTCCCGTCTAACAATGTATGGAGGTAAATAAACAAGCGTCGCGAAATACAAAATACTGAAAAACTTATTCATGTGTTACAAAGGATTTAGTGTAATATTAATAGAAAAAAATCTATTTCGTAAAGTTAGACAGCTTTTGCGAGGGACTCCGTCCGTGCGGAATTAAAAAAAGAAAAGTCTATGTGTCCTTCTAGATTATGTACTATATTATTCTTTCTGTGCCAAATTTTATCGAGGTCGTTTTAGGCTGTTAACACTTAATGAACATCCATCCATCACTCTAAATTTGGATTATTTCAACCGTCACCCCGCTCTGTCCCCACGTGAGAATAAAAAGTTTCATCCATCTCACCTTTAGTTCCACTATTACCAATAAGTTGACAGATGCAACCGTATGAAATAAAATAAATTCCAATCGTCCCCTCGTCTCAAAAGGAGGGACGGATGAAACTTTTTATTCTCATCTATCCCCATGTGGGGACAGAGCGGGGAGACGGTTGGGAATAATCCTTAAATTTTCTCATTTATACTAATAGAATAAAGCGTAAACACACACTACTTTGTGGATTTAGGCTTATTTTCACGCTATTAAATTTAGGGTGTAAATAAATTGGAGAAGATCCACAATATGGTAAAGGGACCATAAACTACAAGCTGCCAACATTAAGGAAGCAAGAATGCGGATTAAGCCGCACGGGAACAGCAGGTTTGTTATATTTGTAAGAAGTAAGATTTAGTACAAATTGAAAGAGTCGACAGATAGGGAGAGTGTGTGTGTGAGAGAGAGAGATAGAAGCAGTACCTTGTCGAAGCACATGACCTGCAGCTTGCCGCAGATGACGATGCGCGCGGGCGAGACGCAGAAGACGCGGTTGGCGCGCAGCCGCTGCTGGCTGTACACGATGCCGGCCGTCATGGCGGCGGGCAGCGCGGGCGGCACCACGATCGTTATGATGTCCAGCGTGCGCAGCAGGATCGTGCCAGCTGAACTCTGGCAAACACAATCTACTTTATACCACTGATCTCTAAAAATAGACAGGTTTTTGTGACTTTGTTTTTCGCCATCTTATGTTGACGGTCGCTGTTGAAGCAGTGGTGAGAATTGGAAGTTAACATACAAACTAAGTTGGGACGAATTAAAAGCTGTTGTTTCTAGGCAAAAATCTATCTATTTATACAGATCAATGATTTTAACCCACGATATTATATTCCTGGAATATCTTAAATAAGTTTCGAGTTGATCTACAATAATTAAAGGTAAATAGAATAACTCTTTGGAAACTGATCAACATATTACAGTTATTGCTACTTTCGAGAATCTTTTGGTCACTAAAAGAGATCTTTAAAATTAACTTTGGTACGAGAAATGACAAAAATAAACTTGATTAGTAACCACTTAATTCTGCGTACAGTAAATGGTTGAACTATTTCAGGTGACAATTAAAGGATTAGGCACTTATTTGAACTTTAAAAAAATTACTTACCCCACGCAATATATACAGCCAAACGGAATACGTCATTCCAACAGCGGCGATACAGAACATGAAAATGACGAACTTGACGGCGTCCTTGTAGAACTCGAATACAAATGGTTTGGGAAACAGAATGCTTCTAATCATTTCTCCTTTTGCTGTATAAAAGCCAGTGCGCACAACCTTAGCCAAAACCTAAAAGACAAAAAATAAAACATATGTTTATACGCAAACTATTAATTAATTTTATTTATTTAATTATTTCTTTGTATGAATTACCTGATTGTTGCCATAGAAGCGAGTTTGTATAACATGCGTGCCCGCGAACAATGTATGCCGCTTGTGAGTTTCCGTCGAATACACCTCGGAGCTGAGACACGGCGGCCCCTTCATTACTGGTACGCTTTCGCCTGCAATTTATATAAATCTTCAAGAATTTATATGAATCAAAATATTTCGTTCAACAAAATTTGACAGAAACATACATATTTGTGCTGTTGTTCCTCTCACTTTACATTTTTTATAGTATAAGTTGACTAAGGTACAAAGGTGAGTTATAAACAAAGATATTTAAAAAATATATAGACAAGGCATAGTGAAAAACTTTTTTTCATTGGTACTTTCCCTGAATATCAGTTATCAAGATCAGTGCGCCACCTCGTGCCTTTGAATTGACATGTGATATAACATTTTACAAAATTATAATCTTACTAATATTATAAATGCAAAAGTTTATATGGATGGATGGATGTTTGTTAACGTTTGTAGCCTAAACGGATGACCGGGTCTCGCTGAAATTTGGCATAGACGCAGAGGATAGTCTGGAAGAACATAGGCTACTTCACTTTTGTTTTTTTTTAAATCCACGCGGACGAAGTCGTGGGCGAAAGCTAATAATTTATAAAATAAACTAAACATACAAAAGAAAATAAAAACATTTAAAGACACTTATTGGATATTAATTAATATCTAATCATAGATAATTTTAGCAATGATTATGAAAAATGTGTCAAGTGTCAACTATGCCTCCTCTATATATTTGAATCTCTAATTATAAATGAGAAAGTAGTATTACCGGTGAGCATGCTCTCGTTGACGATACAGGAGCCGGCGATGAGCATGGCGTCGCACGGCATGACGCAGCCGTCGGGCGGCAGCACCAGCACGTCGCCCGGCACCAGCCGCGAGCTCGCCACCACGCACTCCTCGCGCCCGCCGCCGCGCGCCGGCCGCACCACGCGCACCGTCAGCGCGTTCGTGGACGACGCCATCTCGTGCAACTTTATACTCATCTGCGTACAGAATTACATGTTTCTGTAATGGCTAGTTGGCTCCAAATGAAACTTCGTCTTCTGCAAAACTTCTTCAACATATCATACTTATTTTTACATCTTGTTAGTCGTTTTTCGTTCTTCATCTTACATCTTACTTCTTTTGTCTCACTTTTCAACTCCTAATTATAAATATACACCAAGGACAGAGAAAAAGAAATTTATAAAAAAAATTAAACCTCCTAAACCCTACATTTTTATTTGTTTAACAGGTAACATAACAACCATAAACAAAAGAGATAAACAGAAAAAAGTAATTATAAAGGTTTATTTTAGAAGAATGTAAGAATAAGATAAGAACATAGAAACTCGAATTGCGGCACAGTGCCACACAATAGAATATTACATTTACATTTATAGTCAAATTAAATGATAATGGGAAATGAAATTTATTTATGGACATTAGTTTTGTTACTGCGTTTTGGCATAACGCATGTGAAATAGTGAAAGTAAAATAACAAAAAAGATTTTACCTGTTTAGTTTGGTACAATGCCAGCATGCAAGAGCCCAGGGAGAGGAAAAACACGCAGGTTGCATATTGATAGTATTCATCCAGCGACCACAGCACAATGGAAAATATTTGGAATAAATAGAATGGATTGAAGACTTCGTTTGTGAATAACGCCCAGTAACTCTTCACATCCACTTCTACGGAATTATAACCATAGAGCTTTAATCTGCAAATAAAATATTCAGTTTTAAGAATTTTTTAAGTAAATTCTATGTAAATCCTTAAAAAGTGTAAGATTTTTTTGGTACTTTGTTTTAAAAAAAATAAAACAAAGTAAAATAAACAATTTCTCACAATTCATTCTGCTGCCGTTTATTAATGCCACAAGTGTTCTCCATTAACAAATTGATAGTCATTTTTTCATTAAGAGTTTGTACGTTGATAAAAACTCCATGGTCACTCAGCCAAACATAGCGGTTATGTTGATAAATGAAGAAGCGCAATTTGTTATCTCGGTGATTGGAGAGATTGAGGTCCACTTCATGGACAGGTTCCATGTCGAATTTATCCTCGGGGTGCGATACTGAAATAAAAACAATCTTATAGAAGAATTGTCCTTTTCATTCATAAAAATACATTAAAAAAATATACACTTACCACATTTTCCGCAGATGACATTAGCAAGTTTCAAACTGCTTTTTATGTATTGCAATTTGTAATACTTAGGATAATTACTTAATGCAAAATACGGCAGCCCACCTAATGCGAGGCAGACTGAATGAAATAATATCGACCGCAATTTCGAATACTTGTAACCGCGGATCCTGATGATTTGATCGTCTATGAGATTTTCGAAGACCTGCCATTGTGGGTCTCCAATTACCTCATACTCTTCTGCAAAAGTAACATTTAGTTTATTCTTAAAATCAACAGTGAGTTGGTAACATATTCATACAAAAAAAAAAACATACAGACAAATTGAGTACCTCCTTCTTTTGGGAAGTCGGTCAACAATCTAAATTAATACATATACTAATATTTTAAATAAAAATAGATCAGTATTTTAGTAATACTGAAATAACTCAAAAACTATTGGGCTGATTTCAAAAATTCTTTCATAGCTATGTTAACACTGAGTAACATTTCCTATCTTCATTACAATTTTTATTTCAATGCAGATGAAGACGCAAGCAACAACTAGTAATTAATAAAGATCATTTTAGGTTCTAAACAAGACAGTAGAAGCTAATCTTATACTCAAAGTATATAATCTTCCTTAAAATTGAAATGGGGGATTCCCCTACAAATACATTTTCCTCATCTAAGTAACACCTCATATAACACTTGTGTTAATATTAACATACTGTGTTTGAATTGAATACTAATAAGTAAACTAGTATTGGACGTACACATTTAAAATTTATAACATTGATCTAAATACATACTTTAACCAGAAATAATTTAGTTTACAACTTTTGAAGTCCCAGACTCTTTGACTTATTATAACATTTTAAATGTAATTTGTTATTGAGTACTAGCTTTCGCCCGCGACTCCGCGTGGAAATAGAAAAAACAAAAGTGTGTAGCCTATGTGTTCTTCCAGACTATCCTCTACTTCTAGGCTAAATTTAATCGCAATCTGTTCAGCCATTTAGGCTACAAACTCTAACAAAAAACTATTCATCTAAACTTTCACATTTATAATTTTATTATAGTAAGAGTAAGATGTTATATAATGTGATAGTATTGTTCTACATATTGTAATTTATAATACACATCTATACTAATATTATTTGTATGTATTGGTATGAATTAAAACTACTAGGCCCATTTCAAAAACCCTTAATCATTAGAAGCTATGTTATCCCTGAGTAACATGATATTTTTAACTATTTTTAATTCCACATGGACAAAGTCACAAGCAACTGTTAGTGTTTAATAAGACTAATAGAAGTGACCTATAAAGTAATTCACCAAGGCTATTACAGTTTCATTGATTTGTAATTGCTATATAAGATATTGAATGGATCAAAATAATAACAGAGTTATAAACTTGATATTTGGATAAATTTAGCATAGTTTTAAAATGTAAAGCCAAATATTTGAAAAAATGACAAGGTTGTGACGCATAGATAAGATTACTATCTTTTTATACAATTAAGATAAATAAGATAAATTGTTTTTTACTTTTTCTATCAAATACCAAAAACTAACACCAGATTGGATAGGACATGTAATAATGGTAGGTGGGAATCTGACTAGACCATAGATATTTGATCTTATGTTCTTCTATTGGTGAATTAATTTTTTAATTTTTTCACTGTCATCTAAAACATACCAGTATTCAAAGTTATAAGGGACAAGTATCAGCATTACTTCAAAAGATATAAAAACCATTACAAGCTTTGGTTAATCAAATAATAAATTAAAATTAAACTAACATTAGCGTAATTCTAAAATGTATGTTTGTTTATTTAAATTAGTTTAAATGTATATTATATGAAAACATTGTTTAATTTTGTTAAAAGTTAGTCTCTCAAGTGGAAATGTTGATCAAGTTGGTATTGCAACTTGATTGCCTTAATTGAACTTCTTAACTGTCCCTTATTGTAATCGTTTAAACTAAATTGAGGGCAACATACTGTTTGTACTTGTGCTAACATGAATTTGAGCATGTTAAACAAATGATCATTTAAATATTTTGATAATTTACAACAAAAAACAACACAAGATGGGTGCAGAGATTTCATTCAATGTAGTCTTAGCACAGATTTTTTACATCTTTGTCATTCATAGTGCAATTGTATGCTCATAGTTCTAAGGTACTCAAATATCACCTTTACTTCCTCGGCATGCCATTAATCTACTTAGAATAGTTTTGTCTAAGACGCTAACTAATATTCTATGTTAAGAAATTGTAAGTTAAAAATATCATTAAATTGTTGTATAAACTCATTACTGTACATACTGTATTATTCAATAATTACTGAAGTTTATACCAGAATTATAATATTACTGTATTATTTTTTTAAAAAACTTCCTCGGACTTGAACTCTGATCATGATTTTAAAAATCTAAACATATTAATATATGTTTTTAAATTACTAAATGTACTTGAATCGAATGACTAATGCATTAGATTACAATAAGAAATATATTATGACACAATGTGGCACAAGTTATTAGTGTTAGACATGAAATACAATTTCTTTGATTATTGTCAATAATCGTAAATACATTATTAATTATGATATATCTAAAAAGGAAACGTGGAAATCTCTGTAATTTGCCAAAACATTTATCTTAGTGGCTTTAGTGATTTATGAATAAAAATATGAAGCTAAAGTGTTGTTTTTAGAAAATGGAATGATAAAATGTCTACGTCTTTTAGTTTATTTCTATTATTAAGTTATATTGGTATTTCTAAAATAATATCTTACCATTGACAACCGAGGATTTACTCATGTTCGGCATTTTCAAGATCTTTCTTGTGACACAATAACTTAAGGCATAATATTTTATTGTTTGATGTTATGCTTATTTAACCGATGCTACCTCATCGCAGAATATTGTATAGAATCCAACTAAATGCAATCCCAATATCGCATCACACCTTTTAAAATTATGAACTTGAATGTGGTTGAATGAAACCGTAGACAGATAGAATAGAGAATTAAACGTCAATATAATTTTATTTTGAGATTGACAGATTTCCACAGATATAAGGGACATTAGAGTGCAAGAAAATGGAGTAATATGATTGTCTGGATTTCAAAACGTGTATCATTTTAACTGAATAAAACAGTTTTGTAGAAAAATACGTAACTGAATTGAATGTAAGATTTTTCAACACATTACACAATAATAACGCACTATACACAATCAAAACTCGCCCGCTCTATGTAAATTATAATTTTTAAATCTGCAATGTAGAATCCACAGATAAAATTGAAATGAGTGGACCATAAAGTTGAGTGTTAAGTTTTGCTACTGTTCCCTAGATGGCTCTTTTCGACACATGTATTTAACGAATCAAAGCGGACGAAGCTGTATTGATTTTTTAGCGCCAATTACACTGTGTATGGGATAAATGATTGTCCTGCTCAATGATAAGTAGTAACAATATGAATATAACAATCAATAAAGACCTTGTACCTTATAAAACTTGAGTAACTTAAGTTTATTTTAAAATTCATTTTTTCCAAAATGTCTCAACATAGTGCTTTACTAGAGCTTAAAAGTGAATATTTAGAAATAAATGAATACAACTTTACATGGCCTGGAGAAAATGGTACATTTCACGATCTTGGTTCAATAAATTACACAATGCCAGGTGAGTGTTTTCTTTTAATAATCCTATTTCCAAAAACAATAACCTTTTCCTCGGCTCGGTTTTTTGTTCAATAACGATGTTACGCCAGGCTAAGTTTCTTTATTTCAGGACCATGGTATTGGCCTTGGTGTCCATTATGGAAGGTTCCACAGCATCCTTTATTCCAGGTAATTATTATTTATACATTTTTAATTCTATTCACAAAAACTTTCAATCATAGTCAATTACAAATGCGAAAGTTTAGATGGATGAATAGATGTTTGTTAGAGTTTGTAGCCTAAACTGCTGATCGGAACCTGGAAAAATACATAGGTTACTCACTTTTATTCTTTTTAATTCGACGCAGACAGAGTCGCGAGCAAAAGCTAGTATTTATATTTGCGAATTAACATGTCGATGCAGTGTCAGAAATTAATAAATCTGTGTAAAAACAAGAGAAAAACGTTTATTTGCTTATCAGTGCTTATGTAAACATGTAAAATTCTTATTATTTCTTCTCTAGCTATCAAACATGCTTTTCGTAGCATCATACTGTGCTCCAAGCACAAAAAAGGGTCAGCTATGGATGCATACGATATTAATATTCGGTGAGTTAATATCTGTCTTTGTATAAAATGTTGGATTTCCCGTACAAATCACACTTATGTATACTAAACGTTTATTTTTTTAAGCATTTATGCTGAATTCAATCTGGGCCTGGCACGTGATATGCTCCCCCGACACTTTTTCATGGAACTTTGGTTTTGTTTTCTTAAATTTGGGCCAGGTCGTGTATCTGGTATACCAGATGAGACCGGTGAAGTTCGATCCGGAGCTAGAAGAGGTCTATCACACGCTTTTTGAACCGTTCAAGGTATGGGGCCTACGTAATAGACAACACGGGTATCCTACGGCGTAGAAGTGTTGTCTACGACGTAGGCTAAGGCTACGTCGCAGTTACAGATTGGGTAACCTTTTCACGGCATTTTCTGACAGCAAAGGGTAATTGTGCTAGGTATCGAGACTGCAGTTCAAGAGGATGGTGTCCCCGGACTTCGCGCACGTGATGTCACTGCACGCAGGCGAGGCGTACGCCATGCAGAACCTCACCAAGACCGACCGCCTCGGACTGCTGCTGTCAGGAAAGGTGAGTTCCAAATATCAGTTAACACTTGGTAAGTGTTAACTGATATTTGGACGAGACCAGTGTTGGTAATCATACTTCGTACTAATATTATACATGAAAAGATCGATGCATGACTATTTGATACAGTTTGTATCTCTAACGGCAGAACGGATTTCGATTAAATTTGGTATAGATGTAGAGGATATTCTAGCAGAATACATAGCTACTTATATTCGTTTGTTTATTTCCACGTGGACGGAATCGCAAGCGAAAGAAAGTTCATTATAATTATTGAAATATCTACGAACATATTAAAATGCTAGTATGTTGATGATATAAGAGAAGTGTGGAATAATTTTTTAATGGAATATCTTATAATTACGTTCTATTCATAGCATTTTTTTTTCTAACTTTCTATAACATTCTCGTATATTACGTGTGCATTCCTCGTTTGATTACCTTCGGTATTCCTCCCCGATCTACTCAGTATCGTTGTAGTTTATCCTCACAAATTATGTAAATGGTAATTCGTATTCAGCGGGAGTTGACGGCGGGCGTTTGAAACAATTTTTGTGTGCGCACGTGGCAATGTTTGCGTCGCGCCGGTTAACGGCTGGCACGTGCTTCCCTCCGCTCTGACAATCTTCACTTAATATTTATCTTAAAAAAATATTGGTATAACACGTAGATTTCGTAATGTTTAGCCTGTCGCTGTTTAAAGATGCCAACGCATATGTGGTTATTACCCTTGTAGGTATAAAAGCTTTTGCTGTAAACCACCAATATACATACCAGCCATCGGTACTATTTTCTATCTTTGGGCAAAGGTATTAATTTAATTCGTACTCTTAATCAGGTAAACGTTATGAGTGGTCATCAGTTTCTACATCCGATACTGCCCTGTGAGTTTCTAGATTCACCAGAATTTGAATCAAGTCGAGCTACAATAGATGAGAAGTTTAAGGTAAGCACTAAATAGATTTACTACAATTTTTCCCCTAAATTATAAATATGTTTTCTCAAAACCCACAAACGCAGTGTTGGTAACAAACAATATCGATACGCACCTAGGTGATTCAGCTACTCATGTGCCCTCATTCTATAAAAAAAATAGAGCCAAATGATTGTGAAATAAATTCAGGATGCTGTAATATAGAACGAAAGAAAATATTTGCCCGCTGCTTACTTCTATTACTGCTTTGATAATTAAAAACATCGCAGGCATCTGAGATTAAAATCTTACCTATTGTTTTTTTATCACAATAATGAGACTTAACTTCTGATTACAAAGTTGCAGAATTAAAATATGTTTTGTTCTATTTTTAGTTCATATAAACTTTAGTAAAATCTTTGGTATACTTAAGTTTATAGTTGGGTATTTTTAATTAAATCGCCGTAATGACTGCAAACATTCGCGTTTATTGGTGTCAGGTTGTTAAATAAGTTAATGATCGTAACAAACGCGCCGACCCGAGGTGATGACTTCATTATTTAGGGAGACGAGAAATGGCCTCAGCAAGACATACATATACCAACATAATAAACCGTTCAAACATTTAATAAACCGCAACCGCATATAACAAATTTTAACCGCAATTTGTTTAAATGAAACAGACTTCGCTTATTGTTTATTTGCTGTTATGACATACGTAATACCTAAGCTCTATAATTTAATTACAATCCTTCAAAGAAATAAACAAAATAAATGTGTCGCATTCCGATATTAAAAGTACCATTATTTACAAATGTAAAAATTAACACGAAAGCTTTGTCAATGTTGCTTCATACTTAGGTGAACCTTTGTTTACATCATAAATAACGCAAAATTGCTCCCCAAGCACTGAAAAGTTTGCTTTTGTTTAATTTTCAATTAAAACTTTGATTAAACTGTTTTAATATTTTAATTGTAATGTTAATTACTTGCTTAATAAAAGAAACCCCCTTTGATATAAATATCTGGATTTATACCTCAGGTATACATATTTATGTAATAAAACGTCAAAACAAGGCGTGGACTGGATTCTAATTGACACCCGGCACATAAAAACATTTATCACCTTGAGATATCATAACGTCATTTTAGCGTCGTTACTTATTATCCACCACGCCTTACAACGTAATACGATATACACAATTAGTATGATAATAAAACAAAGAGGTTTATTTTACTTTAATTACCTGTAAATTTTGTGATCAAAATAGAATAAACAATCAGGTTCATGAAGATGGTATACTCGACATATGATTTGGCATCTTAGAAACCAGAGTATTCTTCTGATCGAATAAAATACTGTTTATATCCAGAAAGAACTATGTTCAAGATGTAAGTAGTTATGTTTTTTCCTAGGTGTCTATCGTAGCAGCGTCCTCTTGCCGCTACGTATACTGGCAGCGCACATCGCTAGAATATCTCTTTGTTAAAGAGCCTTACTTGGCTTGTGTGGTCACAACACTAATAGCTCGAGATATAACAACCAAGTTGTACGCCATGAATAATAAAATTGTAACAGAGAGAGGCTCGCATTTAGATATACGACTGCCGAGTATCTCACACGCGCTGGCGAGGAGTCCGAGAAGGTTGCGTTCGGCCAACAAACCTCCACCACCCACTACTGTACAACCAGTCCCACCGGAAAAACGACCAAGTAAGAATTTAGCTATTTCTTTCAGTTATTTTTCTTGTCCAGTTCTGATACAGAACTTTTGATGGATTTGTAGATTATGGGAAAACACTTTGTACAATGTTTTTATTGTAATTTCCATAGATTGCTGGAACCGTGAGTCGGAACACTTGGGTAATCACAAACGCAATGGTATTGCGACTACTACGTACGTTGAGGAGGACGAGGAGCTGATCCCTCTGGCGGAGCACGAGGCGCCCGCCGCCTCTTCCGATGACCTGTCCGTCGCTGACAGCTGTCCCGACACCTCCTCTAAATATCATAGCTGTGAGGCTGTCGAAACTGACGATGAATTACGACATTAATTCAATAAATGATCAAAAGTGTTTTCTAATTGTATGAATAATTTTAACCAGCTTGTAAGCAGTTTCATTCTGTTAAACAGATATAACGATATTTGTTTAAAGGTTTTGATAGATCGATCATTGAAAAAAGATTTGAAACCAAGATTCGGTTCTTTTCTTTAATGTATACAATTGTTTGCAGGATATTTTAAATAAACACAATGAACTTTAATGATGTTTAATTTTCCAACACGGTTTTAAAAATCCAATTATTTTTATATGTCAAACATGTGAAAAATATTATGTTGCAGGTAAAATAATTCAATGAACTAAAGCATTTAATGTTTATTTTAGTCTATGGCGTTAAAATAGTTGATACATCAAAGTAATTTAGTTCCAGAGCACCTGTTACAGATTCAATCACGTAAAAGCTTTGATAAGCTGCTCGTAAAACTCGCCGTAGTACATAAACAAGCGGTCGAACATTTTTATTACTAATTATATGACGACGTATTATAAGTTCGCTTTACGTTAGGTGTGATTAGCTCTCAGTTACGACGGACGTACCTACATATATATCGCTGACCTTATTCTCTGCTACGATGATAAATCCAAAGTGGCTATAAATGTAAGAAACCAGGTTAAACATCGATGAACGTTTTTAACATGTTTAAGTAAACGTCTGTTGGATTAACAAATTTCATGATAAAAACCTCATAAAATGTATTTAATTAACAGTTGCTCAGGTTTACTCCTTTTATTATACTGCTTGTAACTGATTTCATTACTTCAAGTAGAATTATGTAGAACTTAATGTAATTAACAATTTTAACAGTGGTAGAGCCCGCTTTAACATCTTCGCACGAATGGGCCGGCTCGCCCGGTGTAATACCACACAGAAAACAGGCGTGAAGTGGAATTAATTCCGCGTTTCGTCTGATTAGTGTGGTGCCGGAGGCCTAATTTTAGTCTCTTTCCCTTTCCACCCTTTTCTTAAGAGGTGAGGATGGGAAGGAAAAGTGGACTTCACGGTGGAGGAGACGCATAGGAAGGGGAAATGTCCTCTTTATGTGCGTCTATTCCTCCGTCAATTGAGGGTAGCTAACGCATCTGCAATTGCGGATGTTTATGGGCAGCGGTCGCTTTCCATTTCGGTGGATTCAAGTGGCAGCTTGCTGGTTTGCTATCTTATAATATAACAAAAACCAATCCTGCAACCACAAGCTACAACAAAATGGCCTACTACGATAAACCTTACTCCTTTATGACGTCATCCTTACGTTATTATTTGTAAAAGTCTTGACCAAGGTATACATAATGAAAAGGCTTAAATATCATGTATGGTAAGTACAAGAACAAATTGCATTAATCAATTCTAAGCGCAATAATATATTAGCGCAGACGATATCTTATAGGCGAGGTGCTCGACTTCAACGAGGCTTCGTTATCGCCTTATCAAGAACGCAAGGCGCCACTTTTACCATTGCCACAAGCAATAACTTAATCCCAATCTGATACCAGGTAAGTACGATTTCTAAAAAGAGGTGATATAGTTACCTCAAAAAAGGGAAATTAAAGAAAAGTAGCATTTTATCCTACAAATAAACGTAGTAAGTTAGCGGCTGACATAAAATAGTTAATTTACAAATCAAGATGTAACTAACTATTTTCAACTCTAATCAAGTATAAAACTAATATTGTAAAGGCGAAAGTTAAGATGGATGGATGGATGTTTGTAAGAGTTTGTAGCCTAAACTGCTGAACGGATCTTGATGAAGTTTTGCATGGATGTAGAGGATAGTCTGGAAGAAACATGGGCTATTTACTTTTGTTTTTTTTTGTCCACGCGAATGGAGTCGCGGGCGAAAGCTAGTCAAGTATAAAATAAAGTATATTCGTTCTTAAAAGCTTCTAAGTAGCAATTTTTTTTCAATACAAAAAGTTATGAACTGTAGCGAATAGCAATTATAGCACGAAACTGTGGAACGATCCATGACGGCAAAATGTTAAGTCAACACGGTTTTGTACATAAAGGTCGAGCTTTGTACTATAATAAGGACTGAAGCGATGGAACAATACTTTTTATTCACGTTAGCAATGCTTTTAAGTTACTTCAGTAATTGTATGGGCAATTTAGAGCGGAACCTTCTTCCACTTTTTAGTTTCGAAGCTAAAAATGGTCCTTTGAGTCGGATTTCAAACTGCGATCTATGGAAACATGCATATAGTTCAGCGATATACAGACTAATAACAAGTCACAATCGATTTAGTTTAGTTCCCTAATGTAAGACTTATTTTGTAAGTAGCGTTTTAAGACATATGTTACAAAGATCCATTAAAGTTACAGTTAAATTCCACTTATACTACATTTATCACAAAATTAACTTAGTATGATATGTAACTTAATTAAATTTCCTGAAGATACTAATTAAAAATTTGTAAAACCTCCGCAATGCACACTAATTGGAATGACCCATAATAAGCTTTAGATTAGTTTGACAGCACGTTAGATTTCACTCGGCGTTGTTAAGACGGACGGCTAGATTGTTGTTTGCCGATGCCCTATTTAAGTGGAAACTAGGTAACGTAAATACCGATTAAGGTGTGCGATAGTGGACTTTCTTCTGAAGCGATCGATTCGCCACATAGACAGGCCGGCTCGAAGTTTGCCAATAAACAAAACTTCTTGCGGTCAGGGGTTTTGAGGTCCGATTTATTACCTATATACAAAAGGTACAAATATGTACAAGCTGAACAATAAGTACTTACTCTACATATTTTCTTAGTTATCTTTCTTATTATTACTTGTTAAAGTTTTACATAACTATCTATTTCAGAAGCTCATGGTATAGGTAAAAATCGGATGTAACTTTCTTTCTTGGCTGATAAAATTGCTGTAGAATCTATTTACATTTCCTTTGCGCCAGTTACACGACTGCTTTAACACTACGTGTAACACTTAGTAATAGATATTGAAGCATGTTTTGATAATATTTAGGTGACCTCATTAGTTATTAGGACACAATATGAGGCAGTACTCAATAAGGGAGCGTTCATAAACGTTGAATGACAATACGCTGACCTCTTTTGAGTTGACAAAAATAATACAGAACACGGTTATGTTTGCAAAGAAACAACTTGACCACAAAAGACCCGATTGTAACAGTTTTTTTTAATATGTCATTTGTGTTATAGTTCTTTAATTAAACTTCATGCATTTTTGTACAAATTGTAGGGATCAGACAAGTATGATCATTAAGTGAGAATTTAAGTTAATTTCAAGCTGGGTATATCTCGACAGAGCACAACTTCACATAATCTGTCTACAGCGTTATCACGTTGCAACCAGACGCATATGTTGCAACTTAACGTATGTATTTTAGTTTAGTTAATGTAAGTACGTGAGCACATGCTTTAGACTTAAGAGAGGCTTAAGAATAAAAAAGTATAACTTATGGTTTACTATAAAATTATATTTAGAGATTGTCTTTTTTAGAACGATATTTAAAAAAGGTTATCGCTTTTTTAAGCATTTCAAAAGGTCGTGTTTCAACTTTAAAGGAGAACGGAAGGTGGCATCGCATTACGATAGTGCTAGATATAGAATTAACGGCGGCGAGGTCGGCTCACTAGCGCCCAAATCAAATTCTGATTACGACACTTTCTTATCGTAAGCTTTTTAAAAAAAACCTTTTTTGTGTGTTTAAATTTATGTTACAGTAGAAGTCAGAGCTAGTCGAAAATAGGTGATTCGTTGAAGAATGCTTCAATTATTTTAACGTAAGAAAAAACAAAGTGCAAACACCTGGCAAATAAAAACTTTGTTTATAACAATGTATTTTGTGAATGAATTCTCTCCAATTACAAAGAAAGCTTCAATAATAAATGATAAAAGGTTAACCTTAATATACTTTACAAGGCATATATGCACAGACATGACAGGTTGCAAGCCCATCGCCCCTTTGTTCACGATGACACGTTAGGGAAAAAGTGTGATATTATTTTCTTTATAAATACTTCACTACCGTGTTAAGGAAATTGCCATATAAGGCAAACTTATATATTTAACAAGTTTATAAGTATTTTTATGTTGTAAAATTATGGAAAAACTACCAGAAATGATGGACACAATTGTAAAGATCAACAATTATAAGGAGGACTGGTACGTGGCAAATAGAAAACTGTATTTTTTATTAATCTCTTTTTATAGCGTTAATTTAAATTATGTGTACAGTTCGTATTCATACTTCATATATAACTAAGTACTTCAACACCGTAAAATTCACGAAATGCTAAATGTTGCATTGTGAAATGTGACGTAACATTTATCTCGTCGACCGAATGAAACAATACACAACGTGGACATTTATTTCTAACCGATTTAACAGCTACCAATATCTCAATCGTTGTTTCCACCACGTTCTGTGTTGTGTACCTGTATGTGATATTTCACGAGGCTTCCAATTTTGAGTTTTCACTATTTTCTTTAACACTGTTTTCTTTAAAATACCAATAAAACCCGTACCATAGATAACTGGGTAGAGATTATAAACTTCAATTTATTTGTAGCTATTTGTAAACATATATTTATAGACAGAAATATATTTGAAAATTATTTGCTCTTTTATTTCCATAAAAAATACTTAAACTTTTCTATATTATTAAATTAAACGATAAAGTACCGGATGCGATAATATCTGATAAGTAGAGCTTAGGCAAACTCAAACTGCACACATACATGGTGGTCCCTCAGCACAAGGCTAGCAGAAGTTTGAACGAAAACTTACCGTCCTCTGGGTCGAGGTAACTTTGTGTTCATATGAATGAATTTGCTTTTGTAAACTTGCACTTTTGGAATGTATGTAGCAATAAATCACGTAATGTTATGTTGAAATTCTAATGGACTTGTTTTACACTTAGAATCGTACTTCTGTATAATTGCTTTATACAAAAATATGAAATCTAATATCCTAGTTCGCCTCGTTATAACACGTTAACGAGTTTTTGCTGAAAGATAAGTGAGAATAGATAAATAATTGCTTAACTTACTATTTACTTCAACAGGAAGGTGTAGACAGTTAAAAAGAATACGTTCCTAATTTAAACTGAAGTTATTTTGAAATTATCCTGAATCTAAAGATAATTAATAAGCATAAAA